TATAGAGAACATATTAAAAAATTTAAATCATAACAGTTTGTTTACCCGACCAATCGTACTGTTTTAATATTGTAAAAAACAGTTAATATATATATATATATATATATATATATATATATATATATATATATATATAATTATTTATTTAAAAAAAACGCTTATAACATAAATATGTTATAAAATCACTACAAAAATAGCCATTTTGTTTCAACACCTCCGGTGTCTTATCAAGTGATGATGTTGATTGTAAAATAAATGGTTTTAACGATCCTTCACAAGGGGAAAACGTTGTTACAAAAGCTAGAATGACCAATCAAAATACAAGTATAGGAAAATTCAAAAAGTTTGACAACGGAGTCATGTTATAATATCTATTCATATCTTTAAAATACGGGTAATATTAAAAAAAGAATTCATTCTAACCAATAATTATTAAATTATATGATAAAATTTGATATTAAAATTAAAAACTGCCTATTTTAAAATCCAAATTTAATCGCTATTAAGTTTAAAACTATAAAATTACTGAGGAGAAAAGAAGAAATACATATGTTATTCAATTTATTTCTTCATTGAAATTACGTTAGAATAGACAGTCTAGATTAGCTAGTAGTTGGCAATTGTTATTTGTTAAATTCTATATTCCCTCGGCATGCTCAATTTTTTTACAAGGTTAATTGATGCGTACATACTGTGCAGACACCATCAAACTCACATGGGGGCGGGGAATGCCTACCCGGCTAAGATCGAAATAAGATTGTAGTTATCAGGGAAGCAAGGAAACGGAAGAGAGTTTCACAGATGGGAAGGGATAGAAAAGAAACTGTTTGAATAGTTGGTTGCATTTAGCTATTTCAGTAGTAAAAGGGTGGAATCAAGATACCAATCTAGCAGAACAATTAAATACATGTAGTAGTTTTTATTTAGTTTTTATGTCTTACACTTGTTCTTTTTTCTATTTCTTGAACCGTCCGTAATTATTGTTGTCGCAAGCGATTAGGGATTAATTAGAAAAGGGCACTGAGGCGTGAAACCGATATTGACTAGTCACTCTGGCCTTTGTGACGTAAATACACAAACCGGTATATATACAGCCCGCTAGAGTAGTAGTGGAATTTGATGCAAAAATCACATTAAGGCAACTGACTATCACCATTCAATGTTCTGGGTATACGCCCCTCTCTCTCGCCATCTCTGTCTCTCTGTCTGCCTCTGTCTCTGTCTCTCGCTCTCTGTATAGACACACACACACACACACATATATATATATGAAGAAATATAGTCTTAAGATGTGCTATATTTATGGGGTAAAGTGCTCAATATCAGAGATAGAGAAATATAAAAGTGAACATAGTCAACACTTAAAGGGGACAGTGTGTTTCATGCTAGATGCAATCGTCAGGCCACGAGCACTTGTGGCCTGACGATTGCATCTAGCATGAAACACACTGTCCCTTCTAAGTGTTGACTTCTATGTTCACTTTTATATTTATATATATATATATATGTGTGTGTGTGTGTGTGTGTGTGTGTACTGGATTCTCCCGTCGTTTTCTGCATATGAGAGTCAAGCAGCTCATTTCTTAGAACCAACAGCTGCAGATATTTGGCTATAGTGGTGAAGGTGTGTGCAAAACCAAACCAAGAAGCGGACGCACAAATACAGAGAACTGGTGCACTTTATGCCACAAGGTCCCCCCAAAACATTCATAGGCTTTGAATTCAAAGTTTTCCTTCTCTTAAACAGGCCAAGATATTTACCCATAGCTGGGGGGGGTGAAGAGATGGATTCATACTTTCCTAATGGTATTAGCAAGTAACTGAACGTAATGAACTCGACTGAATTCGAACTCACTACGATGGAGCAATATATATATATATATATATATATATATATATATATATATATATATATATATATAAAAATGGACAAAATGTCCGAAGTCAATTATTTTACGACATTTTTATGTTTATACATTCTTTTTTATAGATACAAATATTAATTAAATGCTTGTTTATAATAAACAGTATTAAACTTCTCGGACATTCAGGCAAAAATGTTGTTTAATACTGTTTATTATAAACAGAGCATTTACTTAAATATTTGTATCTGTAAAAAGAATGTATAAACATAAAAATGTCTTATATTTATATATATATATATATATATATATATATATATATTTAGGAGTTTCGATATATATATTTAGGAGTTTCGACAGTGAAGGGGTGAGAGGGATGCCAGCCTCGTAAGGCGCTGAGACGTCACGAGTTCCAGCGCCTTACGAGGCTGGCATCCTGCTCTCACCCCTTCACTGTCGAAACTCCTAAATGTCGCCGTCTCTTCAACTCTAATAGCTTCATGTCTCGCACCTCTTGCCTGTGGAACTCCCTTCCCTTTTCCTGTTTCCCTGTGAGCTATAATCTCCAGCTATTCAAGTGTAATGTCAATTGACATCTCCAGTTGCCTTGATGCATCCACTACCCTCATCCTTTCTTCTATCACTTCTATCTGATCTTGCTCTAAATTTTCTGTAACCGCTTGCGTCCTAGTGGCTTCCCGCCTTGCTTGGGGTAAAATGATTAAAAATATATATATATATATATATATATATATATAAGACTTAAATCTGCTTTTAACCTTCAGCACATGATTTATTAAAATGCTTCGTTACTGGTATGCTACAATATTTGAAAGGGAAGAAAGTGATTAAACTCTGCCGGTGAAATACTCCGGCGCCATCAGACAGTCGTAACATGACCAACTTTGAAAGTCAAACGTCTGTCTCATGCTCAATTTTCTATTTAAAACAAGCCAAATTACATTTGTTGACCCGCTATAAATAACGTTATCAAATTGAGTTTGTTGATTTTGTTAGCTGAGGAACCACTTTCAGACTGTGTAAGCTTTCGTCACATTCTTCTCTTTCTTAACAAGTCTATAAATAAGGATTTCGCCTACAAAAAAAAAATCTCTTCGCCATTTTAATAAGAAAAAACTTTTGTGCGTTTCAGATGCATTTTCATTGATGAACAGAAATAGGAAATTATTTTTTTTTATGTGTTGCACTATTTAATTGTGATTACTTTTATCAAAATTAATTTCCCAGCTTCCTCAAGTAAGAAAATATGTGAAAATATATTAGTGAAAATTTCGGTTATTTTTAATAGAATTTTGTAAAGTTTATATCTTAGTCCTTATAAGGCTTTTTAAGAGATACTTATCACGCCATTAATTCCTCCATTGAATTAATCAATTTAAATCCACAACATGAGATCCGAATAAGATTTCAATAAGAACGAGGTTTTTACTTGTTCCATGTTGTCCAAGTCTTATTATGAATCTATCGCGCTTTCTGCACAATAACATCAAAAACGTACAAACTATTCACAACCGCTTTCGTTACAGTCATTGGGGGTGGGGAGTGATGGGAACCGTTTTCAGATTTCGGATCATTCAGTTGTTTGACCAAATTTATATTGCCATGGCAACAAAATCTTTAATTATTCGGAATATTGTCCTCATCTTTGTTGCCATATTTATCACAATATGATAAATATGGCAACAAAGATGAGGACAATAATTCAAATAATGTAAATAGTGTACATAATACCTCCTATCAGAAATATAGACAGATACTAAAATCTTTAATCACTTATTCTACAGGCATGATATGAGTTTAAAGGTCTTCCAAATAGTGTAAAATGGTTCAGTGATGACATCGGTAGGGAGTTCGAATTAGATAAATGTGCAAAAGTAACATTCAAGGAAAGAAGAATTAACGAAACATATTCAATAGATTTCGATTTATCACAAAAATTATGGGTCTGGAACAAGAAGCCTATCGAGAATACCGAGGTGTCAGCGAAGGAGCTGAAATACAAGCATTACCCAAATGAGGGAGAAAAATAAAAAAAAAAAAGAAGGCGTTCGCGTCTGGTGTTAAATAGCGAGTTCAATTCACAAAAGAGAATCTCAGCCATAAACACTTCGACTGTCCCAATACCATCTCAACATCCTTCTTATTTTCATCAAATGGATATTAACTGACATTAAGCGAATGGATGTCAAAACGAGAAAGATTCTCACTTTGCACCGCATGCAAAATCCTAAAACCGATGTGGATCGTTTGTATGTATCCAGATCCGAAAGAGGTAGAGGATTAGTTCAACTAGAATTGTCTTAAAAAAACTACAAGTGGTTTTCAAGGATACCTATAAACTACAGAAGATTGCCAAAGAACATGAAAGAAAAGAATCTTAATTCAGTGATAAAAGGATTCAAAAAAGTCAAACGGGAAATGTTTAGTATGAATATTAATTAAATTCTTTTGTAACAAAAATAATTTTAAGGTAATTTGTTTTCGACTTATATACGCGTCACATCTGAATTATTTCTTGCTTTAACATCGACGATAGATCAGGACAAAATATTGAAGTTTACATGTGTATATATGGTATGTTATGCTTTCATATGCGATAAATATGACGTTAAAGCATCTGTCTATATTTCTGAGATGAGGTATTATGTACATTATTCGGACTATTGTCCTCAAGTGGAGAACTTGGAGAGGGGAATTAACAGGAGATAACTGATAACTGACATCTATTAGACGCGGAACTAGAACCGTCTACCCCAGTGAGTGAAAGAAAGGATTCAATTCGACATTCCAACCACCTGAGGAAGACCGAAGCGTACAACGGCCGAAACTCTGTAATAAATATGGCGATATAGATGAGGACAATAGTCCGAATAATGTAAATAGTGGACGTTAAAGCAATTTAAAGAAAGTGCTTTCATCGATTATAATGCCTATCCGAACGATCAACAAGCAAGAAGAGGCATCAGACAAGTTCATTTAACAGAATCCAATTTTGATTTTGCGATTCAAAATGACAGGCATACATATTTATTTTTCTTTTCTTTTTCAATAAATCTACATACAAAATGAAAGATTTCTCAAGTTTATAATGAGATTTTGACTTTATTTCTTATTCAGCCTCTCTCTATCTCCCCTCTCTCTCTCTCTTTCCCCCCTCTCTCTCTCTCTCTCTCTCTTCTCTCTCTCTCTCTCTCTTAATCTATTTTGCCAGTGGATCTTTTCTCACTGCATCTGACACTTGACACTTCCGTAACAATGTTTAAAGAATTATATTTTCTATTCTGACTTTTGGTTCTTCTACCCCACCCCCCAGCCCGCCAGAAACATTATATCTCATTCACATCTATTCTAAATAAATGTCGATATTAAACAATCTTTTTAAATGTGCCTATCTTCTTTGATAAAGAAAATACAACCCTGGAAAGTTAAACGAGTGAATCTGTTTAGATCCAAATGTTCTCATTTTTTTCATCTTCCTAGTCAGCATGTGTGTCGCATGTCATAACATGAAGGCTCTCTAAACCACAATGCGATATAAGTGTTCATTAAAGGTCAAGCTATTAGTGAAAATGTGATTCTTTTCAACCTCCCCTCTCTATTTTTCTATCCTTCTCTCCTCTCTCCCTCTCTCTCTCTCTCTCACTCACTCACTCACTGCGCGTTAATCACTTTTTATTGGACTCAAATTCTCACGCTCTAATTTAGGCATGCTCCTCGTGCTTGAATAAAATTACCGTGATATTTTGAAATGCCATCTCCCTTCATGACATAAGCGACAATGGCTCTACACAGTTTCCTTTCTTTATTATCTGCGAATTGCCATGTCTTATGAGGAAAGACAGTTGAATGGTTTCATACTGCCTTCTACGAGACTGTCTGCTACCCCGAGTCTAGGTAGCCAAGTCTACCCTACTATTGAGATCATACTTAGGAGGAGAAGAAATGGAAAGATGCCTTTCTTTTAAGCAAGGTACCAATCTATTTGAACACAACAGAAAAGGCTGGCATTTGAACCCGGCTCGATGATTCTACTTTCCTTGCCAATAAACACATGCACAGTTTTTAATATAAACATCTTAAGAAAGATCTGGATATTTAAATTTTTTTAATTTTACTTGAAGCAAATAATTTGGGTATTTTAAATAATTTAACAAATACGTTTGAATTCAGTTTTAATATCATCATTGCCAAAATATAGAAAACTCTAAGTTGATATTAAAACTGTTTTTAACATCTTTGTTAAAAATTTTTTTCTTATATAAACTTCCTGTATCAATAACGAAATGTGTTCCTTATTTCAATCGTTACTTATGAATATTTAATAAAGTACGCTTTATTGTAGAGTTGACTTCCAATTTTTTCTGATGTCAAAGTATGATTTGATTTCTTTCATGACATTTTCTTGAGTGTTAAAAATAATTAATTCTTTTAAATTGGCTAAATGTGTTTAATCGGCGGTTCATTCTCTTTTTCAATCATTGAATTCATTAAAATCCGCATAAAATCTGAATTTGCATTTGGGAAAGCATTACAAAAATGTATCAAATCAGGAGAAAATTACAAGTGGCAATAATGTCTTCTAATTGTTTACAGTTACAAACACATTTCGCCTCTGGAATCCACTCGACAAACCTCTTTATTCATAAATACATCCACCCAGACGGAAAATAATACACGTAACACGATTTGGTCGGCTTTAGGCGCTGAACACTGCAGTTGTTTGCAGAAGTTACAGACAGGCAGACGATTGCTAAACATTCACACACGCGCATGCGCGCATCATCCCTTTCGCGTTTTCTCCCAAATTCTCATATTTTGCTTCCTAGGTCATCGAGATTTGAATCTTGATATTGAAGGGCGTTGATTGTGCAGTCCAAGACACCTGATTGTTCATTCATTCATATGATGTTAAATCAGTTGGAGCTGCCACGTCATTTCCTTTCTTTCTTCTTTCTCCCTCCTTCTCCCCCCTCTCTCTCTCCTCTCTCTCTCTCCTCTCTCTCTTTCTCTCTCTCTTTTTGGCTTTGCCTTCTTCACTCATTTGCTTTCCTTCACTTACGTGCTCCGTTTTTAAAATAAGTCATTTTATGCTCGCCTCTCACTCAGTCTCTCATTCTCTCTCTCATTCTCTCTCTCTCTCTCTCTCTCTCTCTTTCTTTCTTTCTATCTACGCACGCACAGGCATATATGTGTGTCTGCATTTGTCATAATATGCCTTTTATCGTTTTTCATTTTTCTTTCTCCCTTCCCCTTTCCTTTCTCATCTCCCCTCCCTCTCTCTCTCTCTCTCTCTCTCTCCCTCTCCCTCTCTTTCTCTCTCTCTCTCTCTCTCGCTTCTTCTTCACTCTCTTTTCCTCTCATTCCAGTCATTTATCTTTCTTTCTCCTGTGTACAAGAAAAATTCACATCCCCCTCATCAATGTATAATCTCTCACTCCCTCTCTCCCTCTCTCCCTCTCCCTCTCTCTCTCTCTCTCTCTCTCTCTCTCAAGTATGCACAAGGTTTACTTGCATCGAGAGAGACAGAATGAATCAGGCAAATAACACTCGTTAATAATTAAAAAAAAAAAAAGCAGGATTGATTGATTTGTTTTTTTACTGCTTATCAACATTTGCACGTTATTTAAAGCCAGAAAATATTTTTTACAGTGTAAGAATGTTTTGGAGATAATAATGAATTCCTGCTAATTAACCCATAGCTGGGGGAGAAGGAATGGATTCATATTTTTCCCAAGGGTATTTGCACATAAGTGAATATAAAGAACCCGACTGGAATTCGAACTCAGCTCAGATTAACAATTCTGAGCCGTTGTGCAATACACCACTCACACATCCGAGGTTAAAGCACATGATATTACTCAGCGGTCACCCATCTAGATCAGGATCAGGCTCGATATTGCTTAACTTCGGTGATCTTAAGTGAACCGGTGTTTCAACATGGTATGGACGTTTCTTTTTACAGTGAAGTTTACCCTGTACAAGGCTCGAGAGCTACTCGAGGTAGAGGTTTACAGAGTAAGAGCCACGATTTATGCGGATAAATGGCGAAGATAAACCCTAGATTTAAACAGGTTAAGATTGTAGCGATCTGGAAAACATTGTCTTGGGAGTTGGTTGTAAACCTAATAAAAAGCAGTGTGACGTCGTCTCCCGATGGCCGACTGTGACGTTCTATCCTGATCTACCACGTCGCCAGTTGTGACGTCCCCAAACAGCACCGATTGTGACGTCCTCGCCGCAGCGCCAGCTGTTCGCTCCTCGCTGCTCCGTTCGGGTGTCGCTGCTCCAAACGTGACGTCCGCCTGTCGCGTCAGTCGTGTTGTCTCGTCCTGTGACGACCAACTGGCTTGGTATCGGTCGCGGCACCCAAATGTGACGTTCTAACCTTTTGGTGATTCGGGTGGGAATCTGGTTAGATTTTATATCAGCCTCGTTGTTCCCAACTCGCTTCCAACGCCTGGTTACCAAGGTAACTGCACTGATCTCCAGTCTGCCTACCCACGTTGTGAATTGATCTTAGACAGACGAAATCAAACAGTGGTTGGGGCCGTAATGCAAACTGAGTTCAACGGGGGTGATACCACACAAATATGCATAAAAGAAAATAAAATGAAAACTCAAAAAGTTCAAAGTATCAAAGAAAAGGTAACAAACTTTATGTCTAGTTGTTCGATACATAGGACTGCATCTATCTTCCGACCCGTTCTGTGGATTGTGACACGTCGTTTCGGCTAGGCAAGTTTTAACGCTTCAAGTTGTTTGCTCTCTAAGAAATTGGTGTTTCGGTGTGTCTTTGGACGAAAGTCGAAAAACTTATTTCGGTGGTCTGGTTCTAAGTCGCTCTTCAAAATAATTGTTCTTGGGTTGAAGAGGAGTCCGGAATTTGCGTGAATCTTGGTCAGCTATCTGCGAGGCGGTTTCAACTGAAGACTGACTCTGGGAACTCAACTCTGGAAACTCGAGCCCGAACTGATTTCTGCCTGTTGGGGCCTCGCTTTTATTGACGCCGACCAAAACCAGGTTGGGTCTGTTGGCGTCGGGGTGTTCCTCGATAATTCTAAATACATATTCACCCCTTTTATTTCTGGTTAGGGATTTTCCACTCTTTTCCATTTTTGGGAACCTTTCCTCACTCCCACTTTCTCACCATACCTCTGAGGGGCGTGAACTGCCCTCCCCACTTCTTTGTAGCAGCTTTTCATACTTATACTCTGGATGGGGCGTCGACAGCCTTCTTCTGGTGTCAGGTATTTTATCGCTAATTTATCAAGATGGGTGGTATTCTTAACATGGCTTCAAAAAAAGAAATATCCCCAAAGTTTTCAGTCAGTCTGTCGCCTCCAAGGAAGAAAGAAAAACACTTCTGGGTCCCCATTCATTTTCCTTCGGTTCATATTCCTGATAACATAATTTTATTATCGCAGGCCAAAGTTGTTTCGTCGAAAAAAATTCGGTCAGTGCACTACTTGTGTGGCATTTAATTTTTCATATCTGTCCAAAGTCCTTTTTAGTGGCCTGTTTCTCGTCACTTATCGAAATAGCATTTTCACTTGAATTTTTCCCTTTCTTTTTTACTCAGAAATTCCCTGTCATTGTAATGACACCCTTTTTCATTTGTTACTTATCAATATTTTCATTGTCTCTTAGCCGTGTGTGTGGATGCTTATCACCTACGATTCGTCTCGCCTTTCTTTCTGCCTTCTTTTCTTTCTCTTTCTTTCTCTGCCTCGTAAATGGTGCCACAGCAGAAATCAGTTTTGTATAAACTGCAGAGAAAATATTTCTAAAATCCATGATATCTTTTATATATATATATATATATATATATATAAAAGTTAGTTTGTAATGCCAAGGTTTGCACTAATATTATCTTTTTTTATTACTCATTTCGTAAAAAAATCTCCACAACCATACTTAAATGGTGTCAGCAGTCCTCACTTCACATGTAAGAAATTTCAGATGAACTCAACAATTTTGTCTTTGATAATAATGAACACTATAATATTTATCTTATAATAAACAATACCCGGATGATGACATTGTTCTATGTCGAATGTACTCGGAATAAAAGAAATGTGTATCAACACGGCGATTTCCTCTCGTCCTTCAATAACAACACCAAAAAGCTTATCCGCGAATATGAAAGAATCCTATTGAAAATAAGTAGACAGAACATGTCTAAATTATTCAACGAAACATGCCTCAATATATATATAGAGAGATAGATAGATAGATAGATAGATAGATAGATAGATAGATTCATTCATTCATTCATTCATTCATTCTTCATCCAGTAATATTTATCATAGTGACATTATATTGCATATTTTTTCTATTGCGGAATCTTATTAAATATTTTGATGTTTATTTTACTGATAATATTGCATGAAATATAATGTCATCTAAAATAAATATAAAATTTCAATTTATTAGGAAAATTTGGCTTGATCAATTTTTGTTTAAAAGCAAGTGGATTAAAGTATTGGCTTCGTGAATTTGGTGACATAGTAATTATGAGTTCAATCCCCGGACTGGGTAGTAGAAACAGAACGAACGATACCTGAACAATAAGAATAAGACGAGAGATAAACAACGGAACAAGAACAGTCTATCCACGTAGGCTATAAGATCGAAACGTTATGACAATAAAAACAAAGATGAAGACTTTAATCCGAATACTGATAATGGAAAAATAACCTTAAAGTTAAAGTAAAATTAATTAAAGTTTTCGAATTATTCTTTTATGTTCAATTTGTTTAAGATTATTTCAGTTTGATTTATGCTTGAAAAAGTTCGATTCTTTGGGGAAATCACGGCCATGAATTTTCTATGTATTGTATGTAAAACCTAAAATATTCAATCATAAACTATCAATTTTTTTATAAAATAGTTATTGATTAATTTTCTAATAGTATGATAGCTTTATGTGATCTGTACCATTTATACTACTAAAAGTATCGGAACAGTATTCTTTCTTGCATAAATTATAAGTCATTCTTCAACCATTGAGACAGGGCTCGTATTTTTTAATCAATGAATTTTCGGGTTGAGTATTGTTTTATGTACACAATACATTCCTCGGGTATATGTTGCACATCCGGTTACCACTAGGAAATCTTATACACGCCCAATTTTCCTCCTGTATATGCTGAATCAGATTCCAACTAAGGAATTTTTAACACTTACCATTTATATATATATATATATATATATATATATATATATATATTAAATTTTTTGTGCCAAGATTGTTGGATAAATTTCCGTAGTTTAATGATGGGAAGGCATTTTCGACAGGCATTTTTGTCATAAAGTGCTCGATATCAAAAAGAAATGATAGAGCGTTAATAGGATTAATGTTGACAAACTTGTCACTTAACCGATTGGTGTTATTTCATTCATGTCATAAAACCACTTAATTAAGTGACAAGTTTCTCCATATTAATTCTATTATCAGTTTTATATAATTGTACGTATTGTTTTCTTATTCCTAATATCCTGTATTTTGTATAAATCATATTATAACGAAATTAGTTAATTTTCAAGCGACTTATTTTTGTTTCTTTCTTCTATTTTTAACATTTTTCATTTAAGTTTATTTTTAATCAAAAATCGGTATTCATTTTCAGCGTGACTCTACAAGCCGAAACAGGATCATTGAATCAAACAAGTCGAGAATTCTAGTCCGTATAATTCGTCAGATAATGTCAATATTTCAATGAAGAACTTCAAAAAACATTTATATAAACCTGTTCATCATCTAAATAGCAATAGTATGCGTGTTTTAATCTGGTTAGATGGAATAAATTCCTAAGAAACCAAGTTGTATGATTCCTTTATTCTGTTATTCGTACTGCTTGATGTAAAATTTGTAGACATCGTATCGTCTCGCGTTTTTAACGATGATTGATTTATTTTTCTGATTCACTGATTATTTGGGATGCGATCAATTGATGCATGTCTGCTCCCCAAAGATTATATTATCCTTCATCGGAATGATTTGTAAATGATTTATTCACTCTGCTGCAACCATCTTTATTTTGACACTCTTATTTATAAATTCGGTATCACGCGTTTTGAAAGAAGTGGACTGAATCGGAAGTGAATTGGTCGGTGCAGGAGTGAGCAATTGAGGGCGGACACATCTACAGGAAATCGTTGATACACATAAAAAGGCACAGGAGTAATAAATTTTCATAAACCTATCTGTCTGTCTATCTATCTATCTTTTTATCTATCTATTTATCTGTCTGTCTTATTTACATTATTTATATTTACATACTGACGGTTGCTGCTGCTACCTCGACTGCACTCAAAGAGGCTTCACTTTTTATTGCAGCTGCTGCTGTTAAAGCCTTGCTGTCACATCTCTTCAAGCCCCGGGCCGGGCAGTGTGTACTTGAACACAGTGGAAACAAAGAGAGCAATACTAAATGGGAACACGAACAGATATCTCTGATCATGGACAGCGAAACGAGGAGAATCTACCCCCGTAGATTAAATAAAGAGTTCACATCGAAATTCCCCGAGGGTTACTCCTATTGACAATCACCTTCAATCATGAAGGGCATGAGGGGCGAAAGGGGGGGGGGTCAACAACAGAAAAGTTGTGATAACAACAAAGATGGAGACAATAATCGGCATGTAAACAATGTAAATAATGATAACTCTTCATACAGAAATTGCCCGTCTATCGATCTGTCTATCTAAGACAGACAGATTGATTGACTGATGGATTGATTTTAGTAAGCTATTTCGGGAGCTCTGCATGATAAAAAATAATAAATTTTTGCTACTTTTTTAGTAATTATATATATATATATATATATATATATATATATATATATATATATATATATATATATATATTATATTAGACTATTTTCTTTCAAGCATTGGTTAAATAATTTAGACGTATAATACGTCTACTTATTTTAGTTTTAATCCTTTCAAGCCCACGAATTCATTTCTTGGTGGCTGTAGAGAATTGGTCAAGAAAAATTCCAAAATTTTCTTTCAAATAATTTTTATTTTCTCAAGTATTTTCAATCTCATCTGAGACCATCTTCATCTTCAGTGGTTGTATTTCTATAGAAGTATTATGCGTTGATACCTTAAATTCAAAATATTTTTTCACAGCTATGCAAGGGAGGTAACTTATTTGATTTTTTAAAAAGATTTTTTAATTGTAGTATTTTAAGTTTGTATTTTTTTACATAACATTTTACTGCTACAAACATTTAAGAATTTTGTTGCTCTACTCGTAGATGACTTTATTTATTTTGGGCCGTAATTTTCTTATACTAATAACCAGAAACTTAATACTAATAACCAGAATCTTAAAATTCTGGAAGTCCTTTGACTTCCAGAATTTTAAGTTTCTGGTTATTAGTATCTTGATGAAACTGATTTATTTTCGAATAATATCTGGCTAAACTGTGAGTGTGGACATGAGTGTTCCTTTGAATGTTCTGAGATTGAACTATGATCGTTCAAGTGAAACGTAAGCCTTCTCGTCATCGTTGTTGTTGTAAAACTAACAGACGTATTAACATTTTTATCAGATATGCAATCTGCCAAAGGACATTTAAATTGATATACGATGTTAGTCTTTTGTAAGACGCTATATATATATATATATATATATATATATATATATATGTACGTACGTATGTACATATATATGTGTTTGTATGTGTGTGTGGTTCCAAAATATAAGAAAAATGAAAAAAGTCCTTAACAAATAAATTTCAGTAGCTTTGTAAATTTATATACTTGAAAGGTTGCCTCCGAGATACCTTCACAAAATTGTTGCAATGTGGAACAGACTCCCGAGAGCATGCTTGCCTGATCACTAAAATATTAACCTATTCAACATTCTCATTCAGTAACCCTCTACCTTGAGTGGCACTTATCACTAGGTAAACAATATATATATATATATATATATATATATATATATATATATATACCCAATAAAAATAATAAAAGAAGCACTAAATAAAACTATCCACATAAATCCTAACACACTTCTCACATACAAGAAAAGTAAAAACAACAATCGGATTCCTATGGTTTTTAACCACAATCAATATTCCCACACACTTATTCACAATTTTAAAAAAGGTCTACTTGAATTTCCTAAGGAGCTGACCAGGAGAGAAACATTTGAATAATTTTCTAATATTTATTTTAATAATAATAAAAAATTAATTCAGCAAACTTACTATTTTTTCCCTTAGTTCGGTACAGTTTTTAAAAATATAATTAACGGATTACTTTGACTTCTTTAGATAATTCTATAAAATTTTTCGGCTCCATTCGAATAATTTGTAGTTATGAGAAATACCAGATGCCAACAATGCTTATTATTACGAACGCCGTAAGTTTTATAACTTACAACTGAATTTTGACAAGACAGGTATAAATTATTTCTATACAAATACGATGAGTTTTAAAAAAAGTTTTATCAATAAAAAAAAAATCCTTATATATGGTATGTTTTAAAAATTGAATTAAAATAGTTAAAACTTGAAATATTTATTAAAATATAATTTTTAAAATTGTTATGTAAATTAAATGTAAACGATTTTTGTTAGCAATATATATAAAAATCACTTACAGTAAATTCTTTATGTTAGCAGTATGAGCTGAGCTGTTTTCATCGACTGACGTAAAGCCGGGATAAAATTGAAAGAAATACATTTCGAAATATATGTATAAAAACACACTTTGATATTTAGTGCAGCTTTTCGTTTCGTTCTCACTTTATGGTTTTCTATGGGCTGGACACAGAAAATAAATTTGGAAAATTATTAGAGGCAAGTGTATAGAATAGGCAAATTGAATACGGGTGACTGCAAAAAGAAACGAAGAAGAAAGGGAACAGATGCAAAGCACTGAAAAACCAGAAGAAGTAAAAAAGATGGCAGACGACACAAGGTTAGAAAAAGAGCATATCAATAAAAGATGGAACAAGGGGAAAATAACGTTATTTGAAAAAACCCTATTCTCTCCCTGATTCTTTTTATACACCTCAGATTGCTACATAATAATTACCGATTCGTAGTCGCTGTCAGTTCTCGCTTGAGTCTTCCTGGCGCTAACAACTCTGTACGAAACTGAAAGACATTTTTGTTGTCGGTGATGACAGTCACGTCAATGGCCACATGTTCGGTAGCGCCCCACCGACCAACTACAACTTCTTAGCGTTCCTTCTTCGCCATGAACCAGTATCATTAGCGCCAAAGGCTGTAATCACAAAATCGATGTCCTGTGATTTTCCCTGCTCCTGACTGCTTCACTGGACACAATCTTTTTCCTTCTCTTCACTCTATCAGACATTTATTATTATTATTATTATTATTATTATTATTATTATTATTATTATTATTATTTCTTTCCTTTTCCTTTCCCTCCTACGCCGCACTTAATTTCACCAGACGATACGTTTTCATTTTGTTTACGCTTTTCTTTTTCTTTCCTTCTTTGTTCGGTTGGTTGTTTGTTTGTTTGTTTGTTTGTTTGTTTGTTTCTTTCTTTCTTTCTTTCTTTCTTTCTTTCTTATCGTTTATAAAGTGACTCGTTTTCCCGCTCCTTTTTTCTTTCTCTTTTAATATTTTTTATTCACCTTCACTTTCCTTCCGATCTTCATATCTCTATTTTATTAGCTCTCTCTCTCCTCCTCCTCATCTCGCTATTTCTCGCTTTACAGGAAGCAACCTTTCTTTTCTCACTTCATCTGTCTCTCTGCCTATCTATTTATCTATGTGCGTGTGTTTGCTCGCGTGATCACTTTTCTCTCTTTCTCCCTGTTCTCTAAGCTCTTCTCTTTTTCTATTTTTCTGTCTTCCTCTCTCTCTTTCTCCCTATTTCTCCATTTTTCTGTTTCCTTTCTCTCCCTCTCTCTATTTTTCTTTCTTCCTGTCTCTCTCTCCCCCTCTCTCTCTCTCTATTTCGTTTCTGTTTTCACCGATCTTCTTTTTATCCCTCCCTCTCTCTGTTCTATATCATACCCTCTCATCCTTTCATTTACTTTCGTTATACACCTTTCATTTTCTTCCTTTTTAGTTTTCCATGTTTTCTCTGGCATTTATTCCCCTTCTTTTTCTCCCTTTTCCTTTTTCCTTTTCTCTCTTTTCTCCTTTTGCACTTGAAATAATTGAGGTTGAAGTTTTTACTTCAATCAAAAAAACCCTTAAACATAAAACAAATGTTTCGCAAGTCTTATCCATATCTCAAGTTCAGTTATTGACTCAACCAGAAAAACAGTAATTGCCATCAACTTTCTCTTTCTTCTTCTTTTATTTTCTCTTTTTTTCTTTCCCATTCCTCTTTTTATTTCTCTTTCTCATTATTTCTTTTTTCTCCTTCTCTTTGTTTTTATATAATGTTTTGGCGGGAAAGGAAGAATGTATTTGAATTCGTGTCTCGGAGCCCTGATATGCGAAGAGATTACATACTTTTACCCCCAGTGATAATAGATACAGACTTCAATGATGGTTTGTTCTTTAAACCATTGATCAGTTTGTGAAGGGTCGGTGAGGATTTTGATCGTCTTCATTCGATGACAGAGGATAGATTATTAATTGTTGTCACGTCGCTGGGGTGATGTCGAATCTTGACCGATAACTTCGCCACGTTGTTTCGTTCTACGAGGACGTTACTTTGTCATATGCGTTGATCGAAATGAAAAGAAGACTTGAATTGGTTCTACAGAAGGATGCTGAGGATACCGTTGACCAAAAAGATAAGTAACGATAAAGTTTTAGAGAAAATGGAAACAAAAAGGAAACTAATACTTAACATCAGGAAGAGACAGTTGAGGTTTCTGGGACATATAATGAGGAAAAGGGGCTTGGAAAACCTGGTACTCACGGGGACAAATTGAGGGCAAAAACAACGCCTAACGTACTTGCTGAGCTTGAGTAAATGGATGACGGTGACAGGTTTTAGGAGAAATAACAGAAAGACAAGGTTTATCAAGAGCTATAAGGGAGAGAAAGTTGTGGAGAGTCGTAATTACCTGCGCCCTGAGGAAACACGGTACATAAAGAAGAATGCTTACAGCCATATGATATTTAAACACCGGTTCACATCCGATCACCGAAGTTAAGCAACGTCGGCCCTGGTCAGTAACTAGATAGGTGACAGCTTGGGAATACCAGGTGCTGTAAGCTTGGATGTGCGGGTGGTGTAATAGATAATGGCTCGGAATAGGAAATCGGAAGGCCGAGTTCGAATTCCAGTCGAATTTGCAACATTCACTAACGCGCTTAAGAAAGGTATGAATCCATCTCTTCTCTCCACCCAGCTCTGAGTTAAAATCGCAGGATCCTATAGCCTTGGTTGGCCACCAGTATACCACAAAAAGTAACGACAGCCTACTGCGATAATTTTTCTGCTAAGTGAGTCATGAATCGAAAAGAGAGATGATCGTCTATGCACTCATTACACATGGCACCTAAGAAAGGAAGGTATGTAGATTGAACGATACTTTCTTAATAAGTCAAGAAATGTCTATATTTAAAGGTAGTGAGACTACCTGAGAGAGAAGTTACTAATGGTATTTACAGGTAAGTTGGTCTCTGAGTTGTTAACATGAATGTAGGAAAGGGGGGGTGCTTCGTGACACCTTCTCAATTATGATAAACTGTTTTCTTTAGTTCGCTTCTTCCGTATCTGTCTATATTTCTGAGATGAGGTATTATGTACACTATTTACTTTATTCGGACTATTGTCCTCATCTTTGTCGCCATATTTATTACATCGTTTCGGCCGCTGTACGCTCCGGCCTTCTTCAGGTGGTTGGAATGTCAAACTGAACCCTTTATTTCGTTCACTAGGGTAGACTGTTCTAGTTCCACGTGCCTTGTTTTTAATGGATGCCAGTTGTGAGTTACCTACTGTTAATTCCCCTCTCCAAGTTCTCCACTGCCTTAACCGGGTATTGAACTCAGAACTCTTTGGGTCCTGTCACTGGATCTAACCTTTATCCACTGTGCACTGTGCCGCTTCTTCCCTTTCCAATTTATAACTTTTTCAAAGAGTTCTTTAATTCCTTTTTCTATGCGAACCTTTTCTTCTTCTTTCTTGTCAGCATTCTTTGGAAGAAAAAAAAGATCCTTCTCTGCGACTATCCGAAGACAACACTCAAGAACTGTGTCAAATTATAGCCTTAAAATGAAACTAAGTTTCTAGTGTATGCTTTTCTCTTTTTTTTTTTTTTTTTTGTACGACGGATACGTGGCTCTTGCCCTAAGGGCAAATACATCCAGTGGTAGTTGGAGGAATCTTGTTCTGGGTGTGGGTCATACTGCTGCTAAATCCTGAGTGAGTTCAACGTTCGAATCTCATGTTCACTCTGTGTTCATTATTTTGAGAAGTGGTGGGGGCATAACATTTTATTTCTTACAAAGCTTTTCTTCAAACTATTTTTCATTTTCTTCCGCTTTCTTCTCTCTCACTCTTTCACTATTAACACACACACACACACACACACACATACATATATATATATATATATATATATATATATATATATGCAGTTTTATATATATATCAATTATATATTATATATACGCGGTACCTATTGGAAAGCGCTCAATATCAGTGACAGAGCTAACATTTAGTTGGATTGATGTGAGTTTGTGACCCTGGGTTTCACGCCCTCTGTGATCATCAAGCGTGAAACCCAGGGTCACAAACTCACATCAGTCCATCTCGTGTTAAGTGCCAAGATTGCTGGATAAATTTCCGTAGTTTAATGATGGGAAGGCATTATATATATATATATATATTAAAGAAAAACAGACCACTTTAAGGTACCATTATAATAATTTATTTCACCGGAGCCCTTTTAAAGGACGCCGGATCATCAGATAGCACTTAGTGCACCGGTGAAATAAATTATTATAATGGTACCTTAAAGTGATCTGTTTTTCTTTAAAATATTAGCGCTGGATTTACATTGTGCTCTCAATTTTCATCCTCCTTGGGTTTACCCATACGGATTACCAAGTTTTTTCATATAATATATATATTATGAAAAGTAATAAGTCCGGCAATTATTTAATATATATTCTGTTTATACGTTATTTTTGTTATAGATATAATGTATTTCATTAAATGCTCTGTTTTTTAATTAAACAATATTAATTACATTTACCGGCCTGAATGTTCAAGAAATTTCGTAGAAAATATGCACTCTCTGATAGGAAACTTGTAACCCTTATGGGAACCGTCTTATAGCCTGATGTGCCATAGCTGTTCAGCCACAGAGAATCTTCTGGTTAGCAAAGTTCAAATTACTGTTTATAAACACACATCTTCGAAGAAATAGTAGCTCAGTGAAAATCACAGATGCAACACATTTGATTGAACTCATAAAGAGTGAATATACACTGAAATATGCAGTTATTGCATCGAATTCACTTGAATCTTGAAAAGCGCATCAACCTTTGCATCCCAAATGATGGAATACATACTGAAGATGTTATTTGTTAATATTCCAAGTCAATAAAATGTTGCTGAAAATTTAATTTCTTGAAAATATGTATTTTTGTCAAGGGTGTCCAGACTTAAGGGACGACTTGTATTATATTTGATCAACTGGTTAAATTTCAAAAAGTGAGTTAAGCACATCATCGTAGTTAGGGTCAACCAGTGTAATTCTCTCCCGTAGGCAAATATTACAGATGGGGAATTTTTGTTTATTTTCTATGTTATTTTTTATGTATTTTGGTTTATATTTTTGAGATTCCATATAAGTTTTCCGAGGGCTCTGCTATTTACATATGTTTTGTCGTTAAGTGATGTTTTGCATAGATGGCGTCTGATTCCAGTGACTTTCTGTTATTCCCATATATATATATTTGGAGTTTGTTTTGGATTTTACATTAACTTTGTAGGCAGTTTAGCGATCTTTCGATTCTAAAACCCAAACTGGCCTTGCAAAAAGACTTCAGGGTTGCATGATAACACAGGGACTCAGATAAAACGAAAATATTATTTTTCAAGAATAACATGTAAAGAAATTATTTTAAAAAGTGTGAGTCTAACAAACAAAAAATCTGGCCTAGCAAATAATGCAAGATGACATTGCCTAGCACTAAAAACAGTTTTAGCTTTCGTTTTGTCTGCCAACTGGACGCTAGTTGGGAACTTCTTTGCGAGGGTGAGTATCATATTTTTGAATCTACACGAGTGACATGATCATGTAATACAAATGTCGTAATATTTATTAAAATGATCTGAAAGAATTTCGCAAAAAGATGGGCTTCTATTAATACAATAAAAATTTTAACAGTCGTATTAATTTTAAATTCTCAAAATCGTTGACGATTTAAGTTTAAGTAAAAGAACCGGTTTTTAGTCAAGTATATATTATATAGTCAAGTATATTATATGGTCTATATAAAATATATAGTCAATATATAATTATATATATAGTCACGTATATTATATAGTCTATATAAAATATATAGTCAATATATAATTATATATATAGACAAGTATATTATATAGTCAAGTATATAATATATATAGTCAATATATAATTATATATATATATAGTCAAGTATATAATATATATAGTCAAGTATATTATATAGCCAATATATAATATATAGTCAATACATAATTATATATATAGTCAATTATATTATATACTCAAGTATATTATATATATAATCAAGTATATTATATAATCAATATATGATATATAGTTAATATATAATTATATATACATATAGTCAAGTATATTATATAGTCAATTATAATATATAGTCAAGCATATTATATAGTCACTATATAATTATATATATAGTGAAGTATATTATATAGTCAATATATAATTGTATATATAGTCAAGTATATTATATAGTCAAGTATAATATATATAGTCAAGAATGTAATATAGTCAATATATATTTGTATATATAGTCAAGTATATTAATTATATAGTCAAGTATATTATATAGTCAAGTATAATATATATAGTCAAGCATATTATATAGTCAATATATATTTGTATATATAGTCAAGTATATTAATTATATAGTCAAGTATAATATATATAGTCAGGCATATTATATAGTCAATATATAATTGTATATATAGTCAAGTGTAGTATATAGATATATATTTAACTGAGTAACAATTATAAATGACGAGTTTTAACAAGTAAAAAGTTCACTATTTCAAAGCTTCCCACGTAAGTTATGTGACTTTAACGAAGAATAATTGATCGCCATCAAATATTACGACATTGAAAGCATTGCAGTTAATTATCAATTCAAGTTTTAATTCCGTGCATTCAATTGTCATAAATGTCAACTATCGCACAATGGCTTTATAAATTAAACAATGTCGATTATTAAATCTTTCTGACGAATGTATTTTTGTTGTAATTTCTTTCTTTTATGCTTTAAAATTTTCTGATGAGCCAAATCTTTTTTTTAAGCATATCATATTTTTTTATATCTAATTCATTGATTAATCTTTAATGATTATATATACATTAACAATAATTGCAAAAATGTGAGCTGCTTTGAAAGTAAAATATAAATCTTAGTTATTTTCCCCTTAAATTAATTTATCTCCTTTTATTTTAGAAAAGGATTTTTTTTTTTTTTTTTTAGAAAATTTTACTTTTATTCTTTAATCTGTTATGATTATGACAGATGAACATTAGTTGAAGAAATTGACAAAATATCACATTCAAGTCGATAAAATTTATAATTTATAATTATAATTTATAATATATAAATGAATGGCTATTGGGGTGACCTTTTTAGACACACATCAGAGCGATGTTATATGGATGTCATGTGCTGGCCATACCATATGCTCCCACTACTTGATCTACCGAAAAGATTCATTTGGTGCCGGAAGGTTGTCAGTATTGATAGTGAAACGCCTTCAGGTCTGCAGTCCGGATATTCTATGGATTTACTTCCCTAGGCTTTTCCAGGTAGCGGAGTTTTAAAATCAGAGTTTTCCTTCTCCTAGATGGATAACCTTCCCGAGCTGACCGAAGCAGCAGGTTATGAGGCGTCAGTAGTCCACCTACGTATATTCCCTGGCTTTAACCTAGACTTAGTTGTCAGGGGTTATTTGAGATGTCATAGGAGTATTTTACATACAATGGGTACTTATCCCCATTACCGCTCTCGGCT